CCCCAAAACCCCAAAACCCCAAAACCCCTATAAAGCTCTGTGCTAAAGAACTTATAAATAATTAATAACACAAAAATGGAACTCCAAGAAAAAGTATTGACCTGTTGTAGGCCAGGCTGTGCGGTGAAGTCACTGTACTGGTCGGAAGAGGAGAAAAAAGGAGTGTGTATTAGGCATTGGCAGGATGAAGAGGGGGATATGAGGATAGTGTGGAGGATTACTGACCAGAGTGGAGAGGATTTTTTGAAATGAAGAGATGAGGTAGGGGAGAGCAAGGGTGGGAGGGGTTAGGGGGGATTGGAGTAGAAAGGGCTTTTTGAGGATGGTTTTGGGGGTTTGGGGGTTGGGTGATAAGATTTTTTTATAAATTCTGATTTTTATGGGAATTTGGCAGGGAGAAGTAGTGTTGGATTTTTAATTTAATTATTAGTGTATGGAGCAAATCGAAAAATGGAAAGAAAATCAAAATAACTCTTGAGATAAAAGTGCTGATCCTGAGCTCCTTGAAAAAATTTTAAACATTATTAAAGAAAATTTTGATAAGCTTGAGGAATATCTAGACAATGAAGAGATTTGCAAGTTTTCAGAAGCCAATAATGAATGCAAATGAAAGTTATCTTCAGACCAAATTTCAAATGCTAGAGAATTACCCCCTCATCAAGGTTATATGCCTTATCTAGACCCAGAAACACTATTTGAGCTAGTCTCGATTTCAATAGAGGGAATTGAGAATGAATCTAGCCTACAAGATTCAGCTTTAAAGGAAGATATTCAAAATATATCAGATAAAAATATTCAAGATGTCATATCTAAACCTAATAGCATAATCAAGAATATTCTTAAGGAAAAGATACTTTTACCCCCAGAAGAGTGGAAAATGTTTAGTAGACGCTTCAAGAAATTAGAGAAGAAAGGAGTGATCAAGCTGACTGGAAACTTTCATTATCAATCATTATTTAAGACTTTCTGTTTTGAGATGACTTCAAGCGCTTTTAAAGAATACCTGAAACAGTTTAATCGAAGTATGCTGATGGACTCTAGTAATCCAAAATTACTAGTCTACTTCATGCTCTTCATTTCTTTCAGAAGAGTAGCGAGGTTACAAAATATCGAAAAATTACCAGAATCAGATAGAGCAAAACTTTTGACTACTGATAATAAATTCTTCTTTCAAAGGATTTTTGAATTTAGGAAGAAGGAAGAAAATATTCAGAAGAATATTTATTACAAAACTCTTCCTAAGGATAATGATGAGACACTTCCATGTGAACATGATGACTGACAGCTTCCCTCTTTCTATTACCTCCCTGAATATGAGATTAAGCTCTGCTTCTTACATCGGTTCCATAGTGATTATAAAGATTTATCAAAATGAATTTGACTCCAACCTCATAATCTCTTTGAAACCTTCAAGATAACAAAGAATCCAATTCCAAAGGATGTAAGGCAGAGCTTGCTGATTAATGCGAACATGATGATTGGTAAAGATATTGTCTTAAAAGATATTTATTATTTTAAAGAATTTATCCAGAATGAAGTCTTACTTAACTGATTTGAGAAGAAGAAATACCCTAAGAATGAACTGCCTAATGATTCTTTGTATTTCGATGATGAATTAGTGTCGAATTTATGGAATACTTATGATAAGAATAAGAATTCTTACTCATTATCCCATCATCTAAATGCTCATAAATTCAGCCAAGCTCAAAAAGAAGATAAACTAAGAATCATCGTCTGTGAAGATGTGTATAAAAATCCAGAATCGTTATAGATAAAATAAAAAAGTAAGTTTTATATGAATTCAGAATATTGCTGAATCTCAAACTAATTCTTATGCCTGAGTTTATTATCTTCAACATAATTGGCTATCTTTGTCACCAAAGTTGGGCAGGAATCTACCTCGATATCCCAAAAAGAGGTGCTAGGACACTCCATGCACCTTCCTATTACTCCAAAAGGAGCTAGAGGATGATAAAATTAACAGTTTAATACTTCAGAGAGAATATGCTTTGAGGAATTTTAGAACGTGTCAAAGATTGCAGTTTAAGATTGAGTTGATTTGAGAAATTTTTAATAGATTATGGACAGAGCTGTGTACGATTGTTTAGATATTGGGAAGTTTAGAGAGAATAGAGGCGCTTTAAGGTTTTAGGAGATTGAGTTAGTAGCCAAACTTTGAGAGGGGGTGTTAATAATGTTTTTGATGAATCTTGATGGAGCAATTTTGAAGCAAAACTTATTGAAACTCTATTTACAAGAATTTCTTATTTTTGAAAAATTTGAGTTTAGATGTGTTTAGATAGCTTTGCTCTTTTCAATATCTAATAAAACTGTGTGTGTTCTGAGAGCCTCTGTCTAAAACATTTTATTTTTGAGATTTAAAATGAGTTAGATTTGAGATCAAAGCCTCCAGTTTGTCAAGAAAACTCTTAAAATATTAGCTTCAATGACTCTTCCGCAGATTCTGCTGGGTCCTTGATCAATGTATAGACAAAGAAAAGAACAACAATAGAAATAGATTGCTGCAATTGAAAATATTAACCAAAACAAATTCAGAATAATCAATTCATTCTGGAGCCAAAAACAAACTCAATCATGGGAATTTATATAAGAATCACTCGCAGATCTGCTATTCTAAAAATTCAAACTTTGAAGGATTAAAAAGCTCTGGGTAGTATTTCCATTGAACATATATCATATCTCTAGATGGTTAGATTACTAATTAAAGTCAATTCTCTTCCAGAATTAAGCAAAGAAATACTCTATAAGTATAAATTAAAGAGTTTTACAAAGGAAAAAATTACTAAGGCAGTATACTTATTTATTTCACATAATTAAAAATTACCATTTCTTGATAAACCTATTCTGAATTAGAGAGGAAGTTTATTTCCTACTTTTAATCCTTCAAAGTCTGAGTTTTGGAATAGCAGATCTGCGAGTGATTCTTCTAGTAAATTCTCTTGATTGAGTTGTTCTTGGCTCCAGAGTGAATTGATTATTGTGATTGATTTTGGTTATTATTTCAATTGCAACAATTTAGTTCTTTTGTTGTTTTTTTATTTTTTTTAGATTATTCAAGGATTCAGCAAAGTTTGTGGGAAAATTATTAAAGCTGATGTTTAATGAGATTTCATGACTAACTGGCGGCTTTGGCATCAAAGCTAACTCGTTTTGAACCTCCAAAATAAAAATATTTAGCCAGAGGCTCTCAGAATACACACAGTTTTGTTTGATCTAGAGAAAAGCATAGCTATCTAAACATATCTAAGCTTGAATTCTTCAAGTAACAGATTTTTGAGAATTCAAAAATTAATTAAGAAATATAGATATCTTGAGAATGAAGAAGACGATTTTGAAGAAAACTGAGAAAATCAAATTCTTCAGTTAAAGGACTTTGATGACTCTAATAACAACCCTAAATCGAATGCTGTGGATATTCAATCAGAAATATCTTCCATCAAGCCTTTCAACAAGCATTCCACAATGTCATTTCAGAATAGACCAGAATCTTCAAAGAAAATTCCTAGTAATGACTATTGCCTACTTAAGAACTCAAAAAATTATCAAAAACTAACAGAAAAGGGTGAAACACCTCCTGATAATTTACCCAACCAGAATCATGAGCCATCTGCAAAAGAGGAATCAAAGCATCCAGAAGAGATTAATAATGAAGATGAATCAATCAGTGATTCAAGTGAAAAATCAACTTTAACTGCATCAACTTTAACTGCATCAAATAAATCAGAACAATCAAATAGAACTTTTATTGCTCCATTAAGTTTACAAAATGCAAGTATTAATTCATTGTCAAACCACATGGAACAAACAAGCAATGCTGATAAATTACAGCAAGAAGAGAGCAAAGATAGAGGCAATGACTTAGTGAAAATAAATGTAGATAAAGAAGAAGAATTAGACGATATTGGTCAGATAAATAGAAAATTCGCAGATTCGGAAAGAAATATGAAGCTAGATTATGATTTCTTCTTAAAAGAAAAGAAGAGATATTATGAGGAGGAAGAAAAGAAACAAAAAATTGATGATCAAATGTATTATGACGCATATGACTCTGATTATGAGGAGGAACGTTTTGAAAAATATGTAGGAAAATATAATGAAAAATACCCAGAAAAAGCAAAAGAAATAATTAATGAAAATAAATTGATAATAGATTTTAGTATAAAGGAAGATTATGAATTTATCAAAGAATGAAAAGATAAGATTAAAGTTAATAAAATTGAATTTTCTAATGTTCCAAAAGAAGACGAGCATATACTACTTTATCTTCTCAAATGCTTTCCAAAGAGCTGAGATTCTTTCACGATTAAATTTGCAAAAACCTAGAAATAAAAGCATAGATTTCTATTTTAAAGGATTTGAAAAAATCAGTTCTAAAATAAAAGAAGGCTTAGATCTTTGGTATTGTAAACTCAACCAAAAGCAAATAACCAGTCTTTTTAAAAAATGGAAAAACATTCGGAAAATTGAATTCAACTGCTGTGAACTTGACCTTGAATCAGTTCCTAATTTTGGTGATTCACTTGAATCTTCAAAAATCAAAACATTTAAGCTATGATACTGAGGAGACTGGAAGTTTAATAAATACCAATTTAAAAACTTAGTCCAAGGACTATACCAGATCAAAGACTTCTTCCAAAACCTCAAATCCCTTTACATCTGGGGCAATAGAATATCCAAACAAGAAGTACTCCAAATCCTCCAATCGTAAGCCCTAAACCCCTCTCTCACACCCCTTCCTCCTCTAACCTCTCTCCAGCTGCTCCTCCCCAGTCACCCCCATCACCACTCCAAAACCCATGCTCCAATCCTCTTCCACCACTTCCACAACTTCTTCAAGTTCCTCTTCCTCCAAGATTCCAAGTGAGCATCCAGCCCAAGCAGAGTCGTTAGCGGTCGACCTGAAGAAAATAGATATTTACTGCAGGTAGGTTCTGTGTGTGACTAGGTTTAGTACGAAGGATTTTGTGAAGAGAAGATAAGTGAGAATAATAAATAATTACTAATTTTCATTTCCCCTCCTTTGCTCGGACATAAAGTGTTAGTCTATTTAATCCTTTCTCTCTAAACCTCATCTGTTCTTTCTTTAACTTTATTGAATGCCCAAACGGGTTTTCTTAAAAATCTCTCGTGTAGCTTGACTGTAGGTTGATTTTGGTTGTCTCAAGGAGAGTTACAGCTGAAGAATAAGAAGCCAGGCTAATAAAATTGGGATTTAGGGTATGTGGGGTTTAGAGGAGGTAAAAGAATTCGTTGTGTTTGTTAGGTTAAATTGTGATATAGATATTTGCATTTAGGAGTTATTAATAATAATATGCTATATCACAACTTTCGAATAGTATATGGGGTTTTGGGGTTTTGGGGTTTTGGGGTTTTGGGG